AGGGGTCTAAATGGGAAATTTTAGCCTAACATGTTCTTAAAATCTATGTTCTTATACGCGGGTTTTTACTGTATCTCAGATGAAATGTCACTAGGATCTTGCATCAGGGTCACTAGGTGTCTCGGATCAGTGGGGGGGGGGGGTCACTAGGTGTCTCAGATAGGGTCATCGATCATCTTTGATCGAGACACTGAGGTGTCTCAAACCGGGGGTTAATAGGTGTCTGAGATCAGGGTCACTAACTCTCTCAAATTGGTGTCCTAAGATGTCTCAGATCAGGGTGACTGAGGTGTCTCAGATAGGAGGCCACAACAATGACGCACGCACAATAGACAAATATAATCTCGGTGAGGTCGAGCGAGTGAGCGGTGAGAGACGTGAGAGCTTGCTGCTTCTATAACAGCGTGTATCCTCGTCTCGTCTATCTCTTGTATCTCTTGTATCGTCATCTTTCCGGGTGTCGCGTTCCCGATAGACAAATATAAACACAGTAAAGTCAAGCGAGCGGTGTGCCCAGGATCTACTTCGCTGAAGAGACGTGAGAGCTTGCTGCTTCTGTAACAGCGTGTGACCGTGTCTCGTCTATCTCTTGTATCTCTCATATCATCATCTCTCCGGGTGTCGCGTTCACGATAGATGAATATAAACTCGGTGAGGTCGAGCTAGTGAGCGGTGAGAGACGTGAGAGCTTCTGTAACAGCGCGTGACCCCGTCTCGTCTTGCAGGCATGCTTCACGCCTTCGTCGGCTTTCTGCTGGACATCGTCTGCTGCCGCTACCGGCTGGGCCGTTACCGCGAGCAACCGGACGCGCTGCTCAGCGAGCACGTCCCGATCTCGCAGCTCGGTAACTACGACGACGACGAGATCAACGCCATGTCGGAAGTGCCCCCTGGTGGCGTCACGTTTCTACCGCAGGCGGTGCCGAACGTTGACTGAGAGCGTGGCGTGGCGCCCCCTGGATGGGGATGCGGTGAATGTTCGCCTCTGGGTGTTGTCAGAGTTCGCGAGAGTGAGACGGAGTTTCGCTAAGCGACCACTAGATGGCAGCATGAGGTCTGTAGCCTGGTCTGCTTACATTGAGCTAGGTGTGATGTATAGCAACGTGATAGCAACATCATAGCAACGTGATGTCAAGGTGAAATTAAGGTGACATCAATGTGACATCAATGTGACATCAAGGTGAAATTAATGTGACATCAATGTGACATCAAAGTGACATCAAGGTGAATTTAAGGTGACATCAATGTGACATCAAGGTGACATCAATGTGACATCAATGTGACATCAAGGTGAATTTAAGGTGACATCAATGTGACATCAATGTGACATCAAGGTGAAATTAAGGTGACATCCATGTGACATCAAAGTGACATCAAGGTGAAATTAAGGTGACATCAATGTGACATCAAGGTGAAATTAAGGTGACATCAATGTGACATCAAGGTGAATTTAAGGTGACATCAATGTGACATCAATGTGACATCAAGGTGAAATTAATGT